ACGGTTTCGCATGGGTATATCCCCGCGCACCATGAAAATTTCATCGCACGCGGGAAGAGAAGCGGCACCGAGATCGAACGGCCTGCATACGTAATACGCCTTCTTAGCTAATATAGGCCGGTTTCGTTTTGGGGCCACGTCTCCCTCTCGCGGCCCTCTCTTCCCCTTCATATGTCTCGTTAAAGTCTCGTTTCTCCTTTCGACGAAAAGAAAACAGCTGTTCCTTCTCTCTATTCTTCCCTCTCTGTCCAACAAATCGTTTACACCACGGATCCATTAGACATCTCGCTTGCCGAGCGATCGTAATTAGGAAGGGATCGCGCATCGTGTGTGGAAAGCAAAACCGAAACGACCGTTTCCTTCCGGCCGGCTCGCGCCACCGATGAACAATCCAGTTGCACGCTGCTCGCTTCCTCGCCTATTAACCTCGATAATTTCTTCCATCTCTTATCGACCAATATACGATATCGAAAGATATTACCACTTTCGATCGTTCGATCGAAAAGGGGGCTTTTTCTTTTTCTTTTCTTTTTTTTTTTTTTCTTTTTTGCTCGTCGCACCAAGTTGAAATTAACGGCCAATAGTTCGGCGAATTCACGAATAGAGCAATATACTACGTTTGTATACGTTTGCTAATACACAGCGACACGGCGAGGGAAATTTTTTTGGCCAGTTTTTTTCCCCAGTCACGTCCACACGCGCACGTATAACCTTGTGTGGTCCACAGGAGAGAGAGAGATAAAGTGAAACCGTGGGGCCACGCTGTCTCGCGAGCCAACCTCGATCTCAGGGCCGTTCGTGCCGCACCGTTTCTTCCCGCTCCGGTTTTCGTCTACCCTTCTCTTTTCCTCTCTTCATTTCTCTCCTCTCGTCGTCCCTTAAATAACAGCCCGCTTAATTCGCTTATATTACGCATCTTGATGGTAATGTTTTACGAATCAAAGTGTTTGCGAATATGCGTTTTTTATTGCGCTCTCTTCCTCCCTCTCTTTCTCTCTTTTATCGCAAGGAATCCAACGAGCAATTAGGGTCAGAGGTAGTACGATTTCAAATGATGGAGCTTTTAAAATACGTTTTTCGAGATATCGATAAGACGTAAAACGCGGGTACATTTGCGGCTTATTCTCCGTAATAGTAGGATTTAGATATAAACACGACGTTTCGCGATTATGCGTATTTTATAGGCAATCAAATGTGTAATTGCTTGCACGAAAATAATTTGAAGTTGAAACAAAGTGGGGAAAAATATATTTCTAAAGTATTTTATTATTTAACATTTTTACCAATTCATTTCTTCTCGAATAGCGAATACGTTCAATTGAATGATTCAATTCGAAAATATTTTCTCACGAGGAATCTCATAACGTCTCTACTTTCTCTGCTATCTCTGTTTTCCTTCTACATAAGCTTCCAGCCAGTCTATTCGCGCGTCCATAAATTATACTTAAACGGAGGCTCGACTCGCGAAACGGACAATAAATATCGTTGTGAGAGACGATACGGGAAGAAGAATCGTGTAAATGGACGTAAATGGTGGGCCGTCCTTTTCTAAGAAAGTATTACATTTATCTTTTACACTTATTGTGTATACATACACACACATAAACACACACGTGTATATATATATATATTATATGTATATATATATACATATAAATATACATATACACATACAAGTTCTCGGTAGAGGAAGGAAAAGTTTGTTGGCGAGGCAAATAACAACCCTGTTCAACTTTACGCACGATACCTTGTTGTACCGTTGTTGGAAAATTTCAAGATGGACGTTGTTCGTGGCGTTCGATCGGAGGTTCAAGGTCGAATCACGCCGAATCTGAAGGCGGCATCGCAGAAGGCGGCATTCTTTGCTCGTTCGTCCATGCTGGCCACGTTCTTTCTTTGGGAATCTTATTCCAGCAGAAGGAGAGAGAGAGAGAGAGAGAGAGAGAGAGAGAGAGAGAGAGAGAGAGAGAGAGAGAGAGAGAGAGGAGGAGGAGAGAG